TCGAAGCTGTGCTGAGGGAATTGGCAAGAAACAAGGCTCCAGGACTTGAAGGAATACCCATTGAGATGTTTCATCATACAGATGCCCTGCTGGAGGCACTCACTGAGTTATGCCAAGAGAATTGGAAGACAGCTACCTGGCCAACTGACTGAAAGAGATACATACTTGTACCCATTCCAAAGAAAGGTGATCCCACAGAACGTGGAAATTATCAAACAATATCATTAATATAGCATGCAAGTAAAAACTTACTGAAGATAATTCAAAAATGTTTGCAGCAGTATATTGACAGAGAACTTCTAGAGGTGCAGGCTAGATTCAGAAGAGGACGTGGAATGAGGGATATCACTGCTGATGTCTGATGGACTTGGGTCAAAGTAAAGAATACCAGAAAGATGTTTACTTGTGTTTTATTGACTATGCAAAAATATTTGATTGTGTGGATCATAATAAATTGTGGATAACACTGAGAAGAATTTGAATTACAGAACATTTAATTGTACTCATGAGGAACCTGTACATAGACCAGGAAGTATTATTCAAACAGAAAAAGGGAGCACTGCATGGTTTACAATAAAGAAGGGAGTAGGTCAGGGTTATATTCTTTCACCATACTTATTCAATCTGTTTGCTGAGCAAATAATCTGAGACGCTGGACTATATGAAGAAAAATGTGGCATCAGGATTGGCGGAAGGTACTTTAACAACTTGTGATACACTGATGACACAACTTTGCTTGCTGAAAGTGAGGATGACTTGAAGTACTTACTGAATAAGATTGAAGAATACAGTCTGTAGTGTGGATTACATCTCAATATGAAGAAAACAAATATCCTCACACTGGACTTATAAGCAGCATTAGGATAAATGGAGGAAAGATTGAAATTGTCAAAGACTTCACATTGCTTGGTTCTATAATCAATGCCAATGGAAGCAGCAGTTAGGACATTAGAGGATGTATAGCATTGGGTTAATGGGATGCAAAGGAGCTCTTGCAAATATTGAAGAGCAAAGATGTCTCCTTGAGGACTAAGGTGTGCCTGACACAAGCCATGGTATTTTCAACCATCTCATATGCATGTGAGAGCTGGACAATGAATAAGAAGACCGAAGAAGTGTTGATGCATTTGAGCTGTGGTGTTGGCAAAGAATACTGAAAGTACTGTGGACTGCTAAAAGAACTAACAGATATTTCCTGGAGGAAGTGATCCAGAATGTTCCTTGGAAGGGAGAATGGCCAGACTTTGTCTCACCTACTTTGGTCATGTTGTCAGAAGGGACCATTCCCTGGAATAGAATGTCATGATTGGTAAGGTGGACGGTTCGAAACAAGGTGGATTGACACAATGGTGGCAACGATGGGCTCAAGTGTAGCAAGAATCGTAGAGCTGGCTCAAACCTGGTCATGTTTCCTTCTATTGTGTATAGAGTCACTATGAGTTTAAGACGGCTTGATGACACCTACCAACAACAATAACAACAACAATTGACTTATCAACTCTCTCATTATCTGACACTTTGCATGTATTACAATGCTAACAATTCTACTGACTATTTTTCATATCAACAATGTACACCTGGCAGTTATGTGTTGCAAAGTGTGAGGTGAGAAGAAAGCTGACTGAAATGGTTAAGCTGTCTCTTCATCTGGGCCATGATTCTCAGTGGTTTGACAGCTATGTAATGATGTAATTTGTCATCCTCCATTTTGTGATCTTTTGTGGTCATCCTCCATGTTTGCATAATGCCATATGTTTTAGGAACTGTGCCACCAGAGCTTTTGTTGCAGACTAATTATGAATAAAGATTTCTATTTACATTGATTTAGAACAGAAATTGAATGGGGCAGGTTTGAATTTTAGTGGTCTTTAAATATTTGCAATCATAGCCAACAACAGAGGAACTTAGTTAATAATGTAAAAGTGTGTATATTGCTTTCTATGCATTAGGCTCACAGGAGAAGAAAATAGAGGAAAGGAGAAGAGAGGAGAGAAGAGAAGGGAAGAAGAAATTATTAAGTGTAGAATTTTTTCAGGGATTTTAGTTTTGTGGATAAATCCAAGAGGGCAGATATTAAATCTTCTGAGTCTCTTAGGGTTTTTGTGAGTGGATGTTAAATCCCTAATCTCATGTCCATAACTCCTCCTCCTTTCCATGGGCTTATTAGGGAACATTAAAATTGATGGCTAGAAGCCTTTTTCTCTAATTTGATCTAAAGAAATGTCTACTGTGTCCCTGTATGCCAGACACTTTGCTATGAGATTTGTTGGAGGAGAAACCCAAAAATATGTTCTCTGACAGACTTGGGAAGAGAAGAGAGTGTCAGGACTTCAGAGATAAAAGAATAGTGTGAAAGACTATCTAAAAGTATGTTCAAGTTATAATATTGGCAGATGATCCCTCATTTATCAAACCGCTGAGAGTTCATGATCTTGACAGGGTTCTGTTACAGAATGTGCACATAGAAAAAGAGGCATTACAGAAGACAGAAAATGTGGGAACTTATACTAGAATACAGGGAAGAGAAAATATCTGATGACTGGAAAGGATATGAAGATCTGAAAACACACTTCAGGCATCTGTTAAGAGTGAAACTACCTCTTCAAAACCATCAAGGTGTTAGATTCACTATTTCCAATTTCACTCTCATGATTTATCAATACTAGCTTCAACAATGGGAGCTTGGGTAGCATAGTGCCTAAGGCACTTGACTGCTAACCAGAACCCACCAGCCACTCCTCGGAAGGAAGATGGGGCAATCTACTTTTGTAGTGATACTGCCTCAGAAACCCAAGGAGGGGTCACTATGAGTCAGGCTGATTCGATGGCACATAACAACAACAACAACAACAACAACATCTTCAACAATAACAATTCCTCCATTCCACTAAGCAGGCATTCAGTTGTTTGCATACATTTCCACATGTCACCCCAACATCTGTACCACTCAGGTAAGTTTCTCATGTCAGGTCCTGTGTCAGATGCTGTGATAACTCTTTAAGGACACCTATGCTACTTCTGGCTGACCTTGGGGAAGAAAAACATTGGTCCTATTAGAGTCAGTGATCTGTGGGTGGGAAAGTCAGAGCATTGAGTATAGGCAGCAAATCTCTGGAAAACACAGTGCTTTCTTGCCTGACTCTTCTAAAAGTATGTTAGTAAATAGAGCTTTACTCACATAATACCAATGCTTTTATGTTTATTCACACTTAATTTCATCTTTGATTTGAAATTTAGCAGCATTAACTGACGTTACTTCTATTACCGTTAGCATACTTGTTGACATTTAATCAGCATTTGGCTAATTTAGGAGCTCAAAGACATGATTTGAAAGCAATTTTATTAAAGACCCTTGGAGGGAATTAAATAATGTAACTCAATACTTAACAGTATCACAAGCATTTCTTTAATGTATAGCTTTAGAATTTCTTAAAACAACATATATATTTCATTTTATGGTTTTTTACCAGAGAAGAACTTTCACAGAAGTTATAAAAGTTTCAGAAAATTCGGCTCTTAGTAAAATTGTGATTGATTCCATTTTGTTCATTTGATCTATAGCCCTCTTCTGGACCATTTCTTATATCCCAAAACGTCATCCTCTGTCTTTCCTCTCTAGTTATTTTTGTAACTTTAAATAAATTCATTTATCATTACTTTGTGTTCTTTAAGTTGCTTATATCTAAGCTCACAAAGTAATACAAAATTTGAAAACATTTATATGCCATTAAGATCAAATGAGCAAATTGGCCAAATCTCAGGCTAATAATAGTTCTGACCAGTTTAAACCCAAGCAATAGGTCA